ATAAACTCCGTTTCGACAGCCTGCAATTCCAATTGATTGCTATAGTCAGAATCGGTATCATAGAAAATTTGATCGAGTGTTAGATTACGTAAATATAAATCGGTTTCATCGTTCCAATCAAGATCACAGCTATCGAGGGAAGGTGTTGCAGTAACATCGTCTAGTTTGGGTAAATAGGGATCTTCAATGAATTCTAAACTAACTGGTTCAGAATCAGACATGGTGTTTTTTTTCTATGTATTTTTTTTATGTAAATGGAAAGGAGTTTCATACTCCGCATTGAGAGTTTTTGTTGTTATGATATTTTTTGATTTTTTTTCTTTGTTGTTTTTTTATTGGAGTTTGTGTATGTTTTTTTTGTGTTTTTTGTTTAATATTTAGTCTCTGTGAAGCGTAAAATTGACCAAGCTAAACTTTCTAATTTGATCATGCTATATAATAATTTAAATTTGCTACAATTTCATACAAGTTTGTTAAAAAAACAATTATTAAATTTAATATTTATCACATTTTGAAATCACTTTTTGGTTTTAAAATCATATAAGGGGGGGTAGTTGTATATAACATGTTCCGAATTTTATATTTCTCAATAAACACAAATTATACTTCTTCCTTTGTTTTGGTATTCTTCTTTGTCAAAATTGTGAAATGTTTTAAACTTGATCTATTTAGTTAATATGTTTCTTTTTTCTTACTTTTATTCCACGTTCTTGTTTTCTTCGTAGCCAACATTACACTAAAAACGTATTTGTCAGTAAGTTTAAGAAAATACTCCACTCATCATAGTTACTAGTCAGTAAGTAGTATTGTTTAATAAACAGTTTGGTAGTAGAGAAACACATCAGCTAGTAAGCTTAAAGTTGGCTACAGAAACTCTACTAACAACACGATAAACATAGATACAAATGAACACACATACACATCATACATATATATGGGTGATAGAAATCAGTATATGATTTTTTCAAGCTGAATGCCTGTATGTTCTGGTGTTTATGCTTCATAATCGTGGGCCACAACAACAAAAAAACCCCAAATCCCACAAAGAAACAACAATTACTAATATAGATTAATGCTATGCCTCTCTCTCTCTTGTCTGTAGTAACTAAATTTATAAGAAAAAAAGTTAAGACTGATGATCATTATGCTGCTATGATTGTTGATTTATTGCAGGTTGTTTAAAAAGGTAGATATGCAAAAATAAGTAGGTAGTACTTAACAACACAAGGTGGATTCTAAAAAAAACGAAATAAGCAAATAATTCCATATCATTTGGAATGAAAAATTATTGAAATTTGAGATTGTTTACGAATGTATGTATCACAAAACTCAGTACTGGAAATAGTTTACAATTCGTAATTCTCTTTAGATTTCTTGGAAACTCTAATGTGTTATAGACCCTTACAACTATGTAATAATGCAAACACTGCACTAAAATTGAATCTGAACTCAGAAGTTTTCCATCACATCCTTGTTTTGGTTGTATTTCAAATGTTTAAACATTGTAAAATAAGTTATATTCTTTGAAAGTACAAATCTGTTGACTTTAGAATAAAGGATTAATATTTGTTATTGAAGTTTTTGCCGTAATATAAAGAAAATGTCGATTTTATGTTTAAGTTAAGATATCTGGAAGAAGGAAAAAGGTATAACGATGGTTAAACTTTTATTTTAAAGTTGACAGATTCGACTTTTAGAAGATGTAGCAAATTTTATTAACAAAGGTAGTCCTTTAAGCTGTTATAAACGGTCTTACTGAGCGAAACAGGCTACACTGAAGGAGCATAATTAACCACCGACC